TACCAAAATTAGGGGCCGGCCCGGTGGCGCACTGCTACAGTGCGCCGCTTCGGAGCGCGGTGGCGCTCCCGCTGAGGGTTCAGATCCCACATACAAACCGGTTCCCGCTCACTGGCTGAGCGAGGTGCGGGAGCAGCACCGAGGGTTGCGATCCCATTGCCAGTCCCGGTCCAGTCCGGGGGCAACACTGAGGGTTGCGATCCATTGCCGGACACGGAAAAAGACAAAAAAAAAAAAAAAAAAAATTACCAAAATTAGGAATAAGAAAGGGGACATTACTATAGATTCTAAAGACATTAATCTGATAATAAGGGAATATTATGAACAACTATGCCAATAGATTTAACATAGATGAAATGGATTAATTCCTTGAAAGGCACAACTACCAAAGCTCACTTAAGAATAAATAAAAGTGACTGAGGTATGTACCCAAAAGAATTGAAGGCAGGAACTCAGATACTTGTATACCAGTGTTTATAGCAGCATAATTCAAAATTGCCAAAAGTTGGAAACAACCTCAGGTGTCCATCAGCAGATGAATGGATAAACAAAATGTGGTATATACTTACAATGGAATATTATTCAGCCATAAAAAGAAATGAAATTTTGATACATGCTACACCATGGATGAACCTTGAAAATATGCTAAGTGATGCTGATAACACCAAGGTCTGGGGTTCAATTCCTGTACCTGCCAGCTATCAAAAAAAAAAAAAAAATATATATATATATGTATGTATGTATGTATGTATGTATGTATGTATGTATGTATGCATGCATGTATGTATGCATGCATGCTAAGGGAAATAAGCCGGACACAAAAGGATAAATATTGTACAGTTCCACTTATATAATAGAATAAGTGGAATAGCCACAGTCAAGAAACATCAATGGATTCTAAGCTAGTGGGTGATCATTTGATGAGGAACAGGATATTTACATAGTCTCAAGGTATTTCTCCATAAAATACTTACCAATCAAAAAGGAAAAAAGTGTAATTTATGGTAGAGTAGAGAAACTTGGCAGACATTACTGTGAGAGAGTAGAGAGAGAGAGAGAGAATAGAGAGAGAGAATAGAGGTGAAATTCATAGAGTCAGAAAGAATAGAGAAACTGGAAGAATGAGAAGTTATTTAATTGTTACAGAGTTTCTGTTTCACATGATGAAAAAGTTCTAGAAATGGATAGTGGTGATGGTTGCACAACATTGTGAACGAAGTTAATGCGACCGAATTGTACCCTTAGACATGTTAAAATTGTAAATTTTATGCTATATATATTTTACCACAATTTAAAAAAAAATAGAATTGAATTTCAAAATAATTGAATTTGTAGCAAAACAACTTTCCATAAAGAAAAATTCAGGCCTAGATGGACTCACTAGTAAATTCTATCAAACATTTAATGGAAATATAATAACAATTCTACACACACTCTTCTAGAAAATTGAAGAGGAGGAAATATTTTTTTAACTCAGTCTATGAGGCCAGCATTATCCTGATCATAAAACCAGATAAAAGTCATTATAAGAAAAGAAAACTACAGACTAATATCCCTCATAAGCATAGGTGCAAAAATTCTAAGTGAAAATGTTAGCAGATGGAATTTGATAATATACTAAAAGGGATAATATATCATGGCCAAGTATGGTTTATCCCAGGAATGTAAGGTTGGTTTAACATTTGAAAATAAGTCCTATAGGGCTGGCCAGTTAACTCAGTTGGTTAGATCATGAGGCTGATAACACCAAGGTCCAGGGTTCTATCCCTATACCAGCCAGCCATCAGAAAAAGAAAGAAAATTAGTCTTATAATTCCCCATGTTAATACAGTAAAAAAGAAGGCCCATATGATCATCTCAATAATAGAGAAAAGGCATATGATAAAATACAACATCCATTCCTAGTAAAAATAAAAACTCAAGGCTGGCCTGTGGTTCACTCGGGAGAGTGTGGTGCTGATGATACCAAGGCCACAGGTTCGGATCCCATATAGGGATGACCGGTTAGCTCACTGGGTGAGCGTGGTACTGACAGCACCAAGCCAAGGGTTAAGATCCCCTTACCGGTCATCTTTAAAAAAATAAAAACTCATAACAAACTGGAAAGAGAAGAGAACTTCGTCAACATGAAAAGGACATCTATGATATGTCTGCAGCTAACCTTATACTTACTGGTGAAATATTGAATGCTTTCTTCCTAGGATCAGGAACAAGG